GGGTGGAGGGGCCCCGCCCCTCCAATCCCCCCCCCCCAGTGGGTCTCTGCCAGGCGGGCCTTGGGAAGGAGGGCAGAGAAGGCTCCTGGGCGCACCCCCCCGCACGTACCTTCTGCACCTTGTTGATGCGATGAGCCGCCCGGTTATCTTTGGCCTTTTGCTGCACAAAACACAGATCAACGCTCAGAGGGGCCATGAGACACCCCGTCGCCCCGGGACCGCCCCCCGCAGGCCCACCCAGCAGACTCACCAAGTAGGGGGCTTTGTCCGGGGGAGGGACCTTTCTCCAGAGCTTCATGATCTGTTTGCAGCGGCTGGACCAGTCTAGGAGGGGGACAGAGATTCACATTACAATCGCCCCCCAGTCGCCAGCCCCGGCAGCCTCCGGCCGGAGCTTCCTGCAGTCCAGGGTCTCCATCAGGGCAGCGGGAGAGACGTGCCCCCAGCCCGGGTTCCCCACGACGCAGCATGAAGGGCTGCGTGCAGCCAGTGCTGACAGGGGTAAATTGCTCCTTAGCCAACTTGAACGTGTCATGCCAAGAGGACTATGGGTAAGGACTCCTCCACCCCGGAGAAAGCACGCGAGGCCCTCACGCCGGAGAGGACTATGGGTAAGAGCCTCCACTCAGCCAAGGGGGTCACGACAGGCTGGTTGTTGAACCCCACGCACCATGCCCAGCTAGCACCACGCCCGCCCCCGGGGGGGGCACAGGCAGCTGCCTACCTGGGTAATCCTGCTTCAGGCTGGGAAAGTTCATGTTGGCATAGAGTACGGGCGAGATGGTGGACAGCTCGCCCAGCTCCTCGTCCTTCTCCCAGCGCTGGAGGCTCCGCTGGTTGTAGGAGAGCCCATCCCCCTCGCCCTCCGTGGTGGGGGGGGTGGGCGTGGAGGGGGTGGTGGCGCGAGACCCACATCCGCCCCAAGCCCTGGAGGACCCACATTCGCCCCCAGCTCCGAGACCCACATCCGCCCCAAGCCCTGGAGGACCCACATTCGCCCCCAGCTCCGAGACCCACATCCGCCCCAAGCCCTGGAGGACCCACATTCGCCCCCAGCTCCGAGACCCACATCCGCCCCAAGCCCTGGAGGACCCACATTCGCCCCCAGCTCCGAGACCCACATCCGCCCCAAGCCCTGGAGGACCCACATTCGCCCCCAGCTCCGAGACCCACATCCGCCCCAAGCCCTGGAGGACCCACATTCGCCCCCAGCTCCGAGACCCACATCCGCCCCAAGCCCTGGAGGACCCACATTCGCCCCCAGCTCCGAGACCCACATCCGCCCCAAGCCCTGGAGGACCCACATTCGCCCCCAGCTCCGAGACCCACATCCGCCCCAAGCCCTGGAGGATCCACATTTGCCCCAAACTCCGAGACCCACATTCTCCCCAAGCCCTGGAGGACCCACATTTGCCCCAAGCCCTGAAGGACCCACATTTACCCCATGCCCTGGAGGACCCACAGTCGCCCCAAGCCCTGGAGGACCCACAGTCGCCCCATGCCCTGGAGGACCCACAGTCGCCCCAAGCCCTGGAGGACGCCGTGATCTGTCCTTCCCGAGGGCATCAGCACCACCCGCCTGGCAGGCGCCAACGTACCTGTTATCGAGGAACGGGGACTGGCAGACTCCCGAGTAGGGCTCTATGGGGACAGCGGAGGAGAGAGAGCCCAGAGAAACACTCCCTAGGAGGGAAGGCAAAACATGTGGCAAAGCTGGCAGTAGGCATTAGAGCCAGCCCCCTCATCTCCAGCCCCCCTCCCACAGGCCCCTGGCCAGGGAGAGCAAAGCCAGGCAGCTGCCTGGCCCCTGAAGAATCCAAATGCCTACCTCTCCTCGCCCGGTACCACCCTCTTTATTGCACATGTTGCGGAAGCTAAGGTTCGGGAGGGGAGGCCTGCCCCCAGCGACATGGCACTTCCATGCAGGAAACAGGTCCCCCAGGGCTGTGCTCCAGCCCCGAGGCGACTCTGCCTCTGCTTAAACCAGGCTGCACAGCAAGGGGCTGGCGACGGGGCAGGAACAGACAGCACCCCTGGAGGACACCCCTTTCACGGGGCTTTGGGAGGCGGGTGCAATTTAGCAGGCTGCTGCCCGATAGACAGCTGACCTTGCAGGAAGGGCCGCTGAGAGAGCTGCGCCCGGTTGGGGTCTCGCCCTGCCATGCCGGCCTCCAGGCCAGCCGTCACACAGTTCAGCTGCTGCTCCCGCTCTGCAGAGCCCAGCACGTCCTTGAAGAGCTGCTGGACGTCTTTGCTCTCCATCTTGGGCAGCTCTGGGGGCAGGAGGAAGGTCACAGTGAGCGCAGGGCTGGGGAGCTGGGTCGCTGAGAGAGCTGCGCCCGGTTGGGGTCTCGCCCTGCCATGCCGGCCTCCAGGCCAGCCGTCACACAGTTCAGCTGCTGCTCCCGCTCTGCAGAGCCCAGCACGTCCTTGAAGAGCTGCTGGACGTCTTTGCTCTCCATCTTGGGCAGCTCTGGGGGCAGGAGGAAGGTCACAGTGAGCGCAGGGCTGGGGAGCTGGGTGGCCTTCCGCCCTCCTGTGTGCAGAGCCACCCCCATCCCATTCTCACCACCTTACGGGGCAAAACTGAGGTGCAAGATGCGAGACACCCCCCGCACGCAACTGGCAAAGCCAGCCAGGGACTCTGGATCCCTCCCTACTCTAACTACTAAACCCCATCCCCTCAGAGCCCTTTCCAAGCAGATGAAAAGGCACCTGGACAAAACAGAGTCACCACCATCCCCTGCTTGCTCGGCAGCTGCTCTGTGTGACAAGCTGCAGGAATGGGCGGCAGGTAGGGGAGGCTGAGCCCCGGACAGTCAGGCATGGCCCCCACCAGCACTCGCTCCCCCAGGCTCCTTCTTTGGCTGAGCTGCTGGGGCCACGCCACCCGCCTACCTGGGGCTGGGGGACTGTAGCATCGCTGCATGCTCTCCCTCCCGGTGCTCCAGGGCTGGGGGGGCTTCAAGCATTAGCAAGCCTGAGGCAGGGGCTGG